GGATAGAGCAGGGTTGCCTGCCACCTTGTGAGCCCTTTGTGGTCCCTGGGCAAGCGCAAGGGCAACAGTGAAGAGCTCACATCTGAGGATTGAACGTCGCCATGCCCTGTCCCAGTGCGCGCATTGCCTGCTTGTACGCGCTCCACAGTGCTCAGGTGCTGGCGGGTAGCTGAGCATCCAAATCAAGTCCAAGTGAGCAGTTCTCGCCGATTTTGGTGAGGCAAGCTGGCTGGCCAAAGAGCTCCTCACTTGCCCTCCTCCTCCTTGCTCCACTCATCATCTGATACCTGTGAAAGTTCTGTCATATTTGGCACTGAACACTAAACAATACTGGAGGCGCAGCTTGCATTCTCTCTGCCACTCCTGTTTGTGTACTGCTTGTGCCGCCAGATCTGCGCCTTGATATCCAATGATTGAACACAATGTGCTGCTCAAAGATGAGTCATTCATCAAGTGTCACTCCGAGCATCCCAAGCGCTGACAAATACTCAAGTTCCTTGCCGCAGAGCACTATCTTCGGGTTGTCATGTGAGCGTTCTCGTGCGGGCGAGAAACACATGACAAGGGTCTTGGACAGCTCGAAAAGGCTGTGGCACGTTGCTGACCATTCCTCAAGACCGGGGACGATCTGCTGAGCTGCGCTGACCGCCTCCTGAATGTACCTTCCCCAGGCCAGGTCGTTCAAGTCATCCACCCAGCCAAACGCCGTCGAAGTCGGCGTCTCGCACGCCTCAAGTGCGCCGGCGTTGTAGAGGAGGAACAGGATCGGGCTGAGCGGTGAACCTTGCGGTAAGCCGCTCCTCCAGTCGACGGGTTCGCTGCTGACGCCTTCCAAACGCAGTGTGCACGTCCGGTCCGACATGAAGGACTCAGTCCACCGGCGGAGCAAGCGCGGTAAGCCCTTCTCCTCCATCTCCCGCACAAGCACTTCAGTCCGAACCGACGGGAATGCCTTGGCGACGTGGAGTGGATAGGAGAGTGGATAGGATAGGATAGGATACATTCCGAGTTTAGAGTCGTTCAGGCCTGGAAAGACCCATGTCGACTTGGGGCCACCTACGAGGGCGAGCCGCCAGGCGCACGTGAGCTACGAGAGGGAGAGGAGCATACAACTGTGGGAAGCGATAGGAAGCCAGAATAAAACGAAGCAGAGGTCGGAAGAAGCGAGGAGAAAAGATCTTGTCCATCTTGAGGTTCGACAAGCCGATTTCGCGCCGGAGCTGCTGGCGCTTGTCCGAGTAGAGCGAGCATTCGAGGATGTAGTGCTGGCGGGTGTCCACCGCCTTGCCGCACTCGCAGAGTCCCGTCCCAAGCCCCATCCTCGCCTTCGATGAACCCAAGTCGTTGAAGTCGAGGCGGAGCCGGGCAAGGATGGTCGAGTGAACCCTGTCGAGCGAGTGTAGGGCACGGACAAAGGGTGGTCCGGGTGGACGAGCGTCGACAGTGCGAAGACCGGCGCCTGGCAATGAGGAGAGGGTCCATTGACGGGTCCATTCCGCGAGCAGGGTGGTGCGGTGAGCCTGCTTGAGCGATGATAGCAATTTCGGCAGCATGGTGCCTCCTTTGACAAGCTCATCGGGGCCCGCAAGCGTTGACAAGTCGAGACGACCGAGGCGAGCGACTTCGCGCTGGAGGCGGGTCGCCCGCTCCTCCTCGTCCTCCTCCCACCCGCTCTCGTCCGCTGACAATGAGCTGCTGCTGCTCTGGTCTGGCTTCAACAGCTTAGGACCGCGCCTGCGCCGACCACGACCGTCCGCACGCCCTCCCTTCGACTTCCCCACCTTGTCATTGCCAACTCCCGCCGCCCTCTTCGCTTCTTCGTCTGCCATCTCATTCCCTGGCACCGCCAGATGGCCAGCAAGCCACTGCAGGGTGAGTCGAGCATATGGGTGGTTGTGCTTGAGCACCAGGGCGAGCGCGCGCAGGGCAAGTCGGGCGGATTGGCCGGTGGTGGGGAATGTGTTGAAGGGCGAGCGGACAACTGACTGATTGTTGATGAAGAGGGTAGTCAGTGGAGCTGCTGAGGGACTGGAGGATGCCGTCGAGTGCCAGGCAGGCGCCCTCGAGCTCCGCTGCGTACACCGACTGGTACTGACCCAACGCCCTTGCCTTCTTCCCCCACAGCCCTTCCTCTCTTGCGCCGAATCGTACGACTGCCAACGCACCAGCTCAACTCTCAAGCAGCGAGCCGTCCGAATAGGCCGCCATCCCGCCCGCGTTGTCGAGCGCGCGAACCTCTCGAGTGTGGGACTCGACCGACGCCTCCTTCGACACGTCAACAACGAGCCGGCAGCGCGGCGGGCTCGCCCACGGCGCGAGAGGTGAGTAGGCAATCGGTTCAACTCAGGTGCGGGGCTGGAGGAGCGCTGGGAACGAGTGAAGCGGGAGGTGGATTGGCGACGGGTGTTTGGCGGGCATCGCAGGTCGGGCGAGGCGGAATCGTGCATGTAAGGCCGAGTCTGACGGGCTCGAGGCGAGGCGGAGGGCGAGTCGCAGGACTTGGTGGGTGAGGCACAGATCGAGCGGGAGGAGGTTTGCTTCGACCTCGAGGGCGGCGAGTGAGGTGTCACGTACTTCGCCTTCAACCCGCCGCGACTCTTCGCCAGTAGCCCGACGCCCACCATCACCTTCGATGCCTTTGCGGCGCACGAGGCGACGTGCTGCTTGAAGGTGAGCCTCTCGTCGATTGTCACACCAAGCATCCCAAGTGCCGAGGAGTACTCGAGTTCCTTGCCGCAGAGCACAACTTTCGGGTCGTCGGCTGAGCGGTCTTGGGCAGGCAAAAAGCGCGTGACAAAGGTCTTCGAGGGCTCGAACAGGCTTTGGTGCGTGGCCAACCATTCCTCGAGGCCGGGGACAATCCGCTGGGCTGCGCTGACCGCCTCCTCGACGTTTCTCCCCCAGGCGAGGACATTTAAGTCGTCCACCCATCCGAACAATGTCGACGTCGTCGTCTTGCACGCTGCCAGTGCGCCGGAGTTGTAGAGGAGGAAGAGGATTGGACTTAGCGGTGAGCCTTGCGGCAGGCCGCTCCTCCACTCAACGGGTTCGCTGCTGACGCCTTCCAAACGCAGTGTGCACGTCCGGTTCGACATGGAGGACTCGGTCCACCGGGGGAGCAAGCGCGGTAAGCCCTTCTCCTCCATCTCCCGCACAAGGACCTCCATCCGAACCGACGGAAACACCTTCGCGACGTCGGGCGCGATGCCGAGGACAACGTTACCGTTCCGCCACTGACGTCTGATCTCGTCCACGCAGCAGACTACCGCGTCCTCGGCGGACCGGCCAGTTCGGGCCCCGAAGTGGATGGGCGGGATGAGCTGGAGCGAGTCCGCGAGGTGCGTGATACACCTTGCTACGATTGACTCGAGGAGCTTGCTGATGCAGCGCTCGAAACAGATGAGCCGGTACGACTTGGTGAGTGAGTAGTCATCCTTCTTCGGTTTCCTCAAGACAACGCCGGTTGCATCGCGCCAACTCGCCGGAAGGTGACCAAGGCGGAGTGAGGCGGCAAGTAGCGGGACGAGGCGGGATTTGAGGGCTGGCCAGGCGGACTGGATGACAAAGTTGGGGACTCCGTCGGGACCTGCGGCAGCGAACGGACGGGCGTTACGCAGCACTGACTCCACCTTGTGCTCTTGCAGTGCCGGCCAGTTGTGACGCAAGTCGTCCTTGAGCGAGAAGGGGACAAGACGAGAAGGAAGGCGGGAAACGGAGCGTAGGAGAAGACCGCCCGGCACCACCACCACCCCAAACCCTCCGCTCTGAACCCTCTCTCTCTCTCTCTCGCCCGATCCAACCTCGACCTGGCCCGCTTCTAGTCCGGCAAGCCCCCTACACCACACTCTACCACACGACCCACCAAAACCGCGCCCTGACTGCCGTCGCCGTCGTCGCCGCCGTCGGAGAAGGACAAGATCAAGTCTGGCATATCTCGATGGTTTCTCGGTATTTCGGCTTCGTTCTTCGTTTCCCTAGCCCCTGACACCCCGTTCTACTAGCTCACCGCACCGCGCCCCTCCACCATCACTCTTACCCTTTCTTTCGCACTTTCTCACACTCACACCTACTTTGCCGCTCCATTCTGCTCACCTGTTGTCTCTCCACCCTTTATCGCCTCTCCACTTCAGTAGATACCCCTTCTATGTCGTTGTGCGCTGTGGTGACCAGACTTCACCGGTCTACATGGGCTCAGCCCGATATGACTTGTAATCAGGAACTCTCTCTCTCTCTCTCCCTTGTTGCCTTGGTCGCCGTCGTCGGGCGTGGTGTCGCGCGTCGCGGCGTCTTCTGCGGAGGTGCGTCTATGCTCACTCGCGTGGCATTCGTCTGACGGACTCGTAGCGGGTAGGACAGTAAACTGGTGACCTACTTGTACTCCGCTGACGGTCCTCCCATTCCCCTTTCATGCAGGCTGCTCGACATCTGCGGCGCCTTCGGCCTCTGGCGCCTCGACGACCGGTAGCAGGACGGGCTGGAGGAGGGCGAGCTTGTCAATGGGTGACGTTGCGTATGTCCCGTCGTCCCTCTTGAGCGGCAGAGTTGATGCAGCCGCTGATCCTCTATCCCCCAGCTTCTCCTTCACCACCTTCCACAGCGTCCCCTCATTCACCTCTTCGACTTCCGCCCTTTCCGCCCGCCTCTTCTCTCGCCTGATCATCGCCTTCGCTCGGTTTGTCGCCACCTTCGCCGCTCGCACTGCCGCTTCCACCACATCTCCCTCATTGCCTCTCGCCTTCACCCGATATGCCCGAGTTTGCACTCGTCGCACTTCATCAACTGCGCCCGCCACTTCAGCGCTCCACCATCGATGGGCAAAGCGTGAGCGCGACGGCTTCGCGAGTGGGACGGCTACCGAGACGGTCTCGCGGAGCATCAAGTCAAGTGTTGCCGCTTCGGTGTCTAGATCGGCTGGCGTGAGAAGGGTCGCAGGCGTCGCGACAGACGCGGCGAGTTTGGCGCAGGCGCGGAGGATGGTTGCTGGGTCGGCTTTGCGGAAGAGGCGGCGGGGGTAGGCCGGCGGGCGGTCTGCTCGTTCGACGGCAAGGACGGTGCGTATCGGGCGGTGGTCCGATCCGTACTCGAGCGCCTCGTCGATGACTGAGCTGACGAGTCTCTCCTCCGCACGCAGGTTCCCCAGCACCAGGTCGAGCACCCAACTTGACCTCGACAACGACCAAGTCGACTTGCTCGCCTCGTGGAAGTGGACGAGTCCGGCGTCCTCGAAGGTGAGTCGCGCCTCTTCAGCCTCGTCGTCGGCTTCAAGGACAGACGGATCCCAGGCGGGGTGATGTAGGTTGAAGTTGCCAGCAATGACAAGGGTGTTCTGAGACGGCGAGGAGGCGAGGATGGCAGGGAGGACATCTCGCTCTGAGCGTTTTGGCGGGGAGCGACCGCCTGCGCACGGGTTGTACACACCAACGACTCGTACTGACTCGTGTTCGTTGACTCGCAGATCGACACCGACAACATCTCTCGACGCAACGGGGAGTTGCGAGAAGGCGGAGGGTGGGAAGCGGGGAGAGACGAGCGCGGCGGATCCAGGGTGAGTTGGCTCGTCCGTTGTGTACGTGACGGGCGGAGGGAGGACGAGGGACCAACCGCGCGGCAAGGGATGGAGGGAGCGGGGCACTTCTTGGAGGAGGAGAACGTCGACTTGCCAAAGTGCGGGCGAGTTGACGAGTTGCGATCAGACGTCTGGGCTACAGTGGATGTTGTAGGTGACGATGACAAATGAGCGGAGGCTCGTCTTTGTCGTCCTCCTCACTTGCGAAGGCGGCGGCGGCGGGTTGGGGCGGAGGAGCAGCTCGTCCTCGGATGATGAGACGACGCTGCAAACGCGCAGGGCACACCTGGCTGGAGGGATAGAAGGAGTGCTGACCGCTCCTTCGGTCTGCAACAGGTTCTTCTCCCTCAGCACCTGCCTCCTCGACTCCCTTCCCCTCGGCGCTTCCTGCCTCTTCTCCTCCTTTGCCTCGTTCCTCTTCTCTTCCCTCTTCTTATTGTCCTTCTCGTTCCCGCATCCCGCGCCTGTCTCCTCTGCTGCACCCGTCGCTGTCGACTCCCCCTCCTCCTCCGACTCGCTCCTCCCCTCTTGTTCAAACGCCTCCTCCTCCGTGTCCACCGACCAGTCCGCCACCGGCTCGGTCGCAGGTCTTCGACTGTCGGTGTTGGCGAGCGAGGGAGCGGGATCAGGGACGCGCGAGATGGCGTTCCGAGGAATGCGGACGGTCCTTCGCCTGACGACTCGTCGACCATCATCCGCGACAAGTTGCTCGGCTCGCTTCCGCTTCCGCTCGCTGTCGTGCCGAGATATCCTGTCAACATTGTTCCGTGCGGTCCCGCGGAGCGAGGCGGCGTCTGCGGCGGCGACTTGATTGTCGGGTCGGGTCGGGCGAAGGGAGGGGAGCGGCGGAATTGTGAGCTGGGGTGGATGTGCGGGTGTCGGGAGCGAGGGGTGCGTTCGTCTTGTTTGACCGCTTGCTTGCTTCCGCTCTCCTTTTCGCGACCAAATTGGGCCTCTCCAACTCTGCCCACACTCCCGGCCTGAGCTGGCGGACCGCCTTACGTAGGATTGCGCTGATGTCCTCCGCATTGCACAGCTCCACCAACCACAATCCGTACGACTTGTCTGCACGCCGCGCCAACCATCTGGCCCCAGCCACCTTTCCCTCACCGCCAACCCACTCTTCCACCTTCTCTCGCACTTCGACCTCGTCCGCGTCGACCGGTACCCAATGTGCGACCAACGACGTCGCCTCAACCGGCATCTTCACCACAATTTCGGCCGAGTAGGCGGAGAGAGCGCGGCGGAGGAGGTCGGCAGCCGAAGGTCCACGGGTGACGAGTCGTACGTCTCCTCTCTCCATGTGTTGGGCGTAGACGAGGGTCGAGGGGTCGGGGGATGAGCTGACCATCATCTTGCAAACGCAGGGCAGGATCCGGTGCTCAGGGAGGGCGCGGAGGAAGTGCGTCTCGGGGAGGTTGGCGGTGCCGGCGATGAGGGAGGTGCGGGGCGCGGGTTTCGTGGGCGCGGGGACGCGTCGGGCTGCAGCGGGGACCGAGGGAGCTGCTGGGCGGGCCGGGACAGCAGCAGCAGCTGCGTAGGATTGTACGGCGGGCGCCAGCGGGGGAGGAGGGTCCAAGACGTTGCTTTGGAGCGCTGCAAAGCGGTTCTTTGACTCCCAGGCGTCCATGCGGGTGTGGAGAGATTGTACAACGTCTGTAAGCTTCTGCACGTTGCTAGAAAGCGCTACGAGAGGACCACTGACCGCCACCCCTTCCGAGGGTGGGGAGTCAAGTGGGTCACACGGCTTGTTGAGGGCGTTTGGCGGGTTGTTGAGCGGCATGCTGGCAGCCGTGTGACTCAACTTGCCCCCCATACTGTTGCTTCCCCCCTCAACCACCTGCGGATGCGAGTCTGGCGAGGAGGGTGGGAACGGGGAGGTGGGGGTCGCGTTGGATCTCAGCGAAAAGGGCGTCTGGCGAGTCGCAGCTGCAGGTACGGCGAGCTGGAAGGGCTTGGATGGTGTCGCTTTGCCGGCGTCGCGCTTGAGCTTGAGGAAAGCGAGTACTCGCTTGATGTCGCCTCGGGCCCGAGAGTTCATGTCCGGGCCTATCGTACCCTCCAGCAACGCCTTGCGGGCGCGCTGGAGGTGACTGATAGCCTCAGACGTACAGCTAGAGGGCTGTAGCATGCAGCAAAAGTCCCAGCAGCGGTTGTCAGCGTGGCCCGCAGAAGGAGGCGGAAAGGGAGGGGAA